TGGCGTTACCTACAAAAGAGAAGGCTCGGTGTTAGCGCGAGAAAGTGTGTAAGAGGACAGCCGGAAGAGCGTCGCTAACGGGCGTAGACTTCTTGAACACCAAATCGATATAAAATGAGAACACCCGCTACTGCGACCCATGTCAAGAACATCATTCGCAATTTTGGATTTTCCGCCAACGGATTTTGGAGAAGTACAAATTTTAAGCCGGTCGCGGCTGGGATCCCCGTAAAGAATGTCTTTAAAAATTATCAATTTCCCGCCAAGGTTTTTGCAAAAGTGTAATTTTCGGACCGTTAGAGAGAAAAAATTCAGAGAACCCAGGCTCCCGCCAAAACAAATAATTTCGATCACCCAGCCACTGGGATCGTCGTCAAGAACATCGTTAAAATTTAGATTTCCCGCCAACGGTCGTCTCGAAAATTGAAATTTTAGAGAGCTAGTGACCAAATTTCGGAAAGCCACGACCTACGCCCAGCTACTGGGATCCCCGTAAAGAATATCTTTAAAAGTTGTCAATTTTCCCCCAAGGTTTTTGCAAAAGTGTAATTTTTGGACCGTTAGCGACAAAAATTCGGAGAGCCCGGACTCCCGCCAAAACAAATAATTCCGACCGTCCAGCCACTGGGATAGTCGTCAAGAACATCGTTAAAATTTAGATTTCCCGCCAACGGTCGTCTCGAAAATTGAAATTTTAGAGAGTTGGCGACCAAATTTCGGAGAGCCACGACCCGGTAAAACAAACAATATTGAACGCCAAGCGCCCGCTTACGGGTTGAATACGGAATTTCACTTCTTGGAGACCAAACCAGAAAAATTTTGACGACCCCGCTACAAGATTTCTAAATTGTGAGAAAGACTCCGCAAGGTCGGGAGCGACAAAAAAGAATTTCAAAGAGGACGAGCATCGTTGAGCGTCGCCATAGCTCAGAGAGCAAACATACAGATACAAACAAAGAGAGAGAGAAAGCAGCGTCGAGCAGCGTCGTAGTTGCTTAATGATCGTGGTTCTAGTGTAGATCGTCAGGAGTATCGAATAAACAAATTTACAAACATGGAGAGAGAGAGAGAGAGAGAGAGAGAGAGAGAGAGAGAGAGAGAGAGAGA